TGTGGTTTGTATAAGGCTGAAGCCCTAAACAATCAAAGTAAAGTGCATCTTCAAACACTGTCGAAAGAAGTTGTTTTGGTACTGGAAATCATTGTGATGGCCTAAAAAAATATTTTCTTCTCTAATTATAAAATTAAAAGCTTCAAAAATATCGTATATTGGCTAGATCTATGAACACTTGAAAATATTGAAAATTAACATTCTAGAAAATACAATGTTGTTAGGTTCATTTCGGAGTCTACTTCGGTTTGGTCTACAAAATGAAACAATTCGGTGTTTTAGCTAATTCGGGGAAGACTTGAGGTTTTTTTTTTTTTTTTTTAATTTTTTTTTTTTAAAACATATATTTTATAATTTATAAAAAATTTAAAAATAAAATAATAAATAAAATTGTTATAAATAAAAAATATAAAAATATAATATAGACTACCATTGAAAATGATGGATAACATCCGAGGACTTAATGTCGGTTGGCCTTTAGAGAAAACCTTACCGAAATATTCAAACTGACATTCAGAGTACCGACTTATACCCCTCCAAACTTTACTATGTTTGTACAAATGGTAACTTCATTATGTTCGTGCAAAGAGGCACCTGTGCATCATTAAAATTGTCTCTATATGTACAAAGTCCAATCCTTATCATTATAACCAAAGCTTTTGACATTCTCAATTGATACGTGTCAACATTATATGCCTCTTTTGCCCTAACACACAATATTTCAGCGTTAAATGTTAAATTTCGGAGTCAAGGCATTTAATTTTTCGTTTATCTTGAGGGGGGGTAAAACCGAAGATTTCGGTCGAAGCGGAACGAATTTAACGACAAAGAGAAAATGCGTTATAAGTTGTAATATTTTTAAAACTTGAAATTCATTTTTTCTCATGCCCATGGTCGATTTGATGATTTTTGGGCATCGAAACAACCTCTTCTAGTTAATTTTTTAGTTGTGCCTTAATTTGATTGCCCTTTATATAAAATTTTTCTTTTATGGGTAGATTAACACCTTTTTTTTTTTTCTTATTATTCTTGAGATAACAATTTTATTTTCTTGCATTTTATTGCGAGTGGCAGTCATTGTTTATACTCGATAGTTTATTTTAGGGTTTAAAAAACAGACTTGTAGGTCAGAACTATAGGTAATCGATCTCCAAATCCTTGTTGTATTGAGAAAAGAAAAAAATCAATGGGAACTGGTGAAGATCACTAGAAAAATAGGGGTCTTAAACACGGGTCAGTACCCTACATGCTTGGATCAAGTTGGTCTTTATCTACTTAGCCATTTTCTTATATAATTTATTTTTATACTTTAAAGATGTCTAAAAACCAGACTGGATGATCAAACCAAACGCCTATTAGTTCCAATCCCCACAATTTATATCAGATTTATCTTTCTTCCGAAAAAATAAATGAGAACAAGTGATTGAGGAAAGTAGAAAAGTAAAGGCAATGATTTCATGTAATGGTTGTATCATAATATAATGTAACCACATTAAAAAATCATGTTAGAGATATTTGTTTGACACAATTTTTTAGATGTATACTCTTTTCATTCTAAAGAATAATTATAAAAAAAAATTTTAGAAAAAAAACACCCAGAAAGTGTTTTTCTAACCCAATTAATATAAGTCATCCATGTTAGTGAGAGAAGGTTAGATATAGGCCTCAAAAAGTTTTTTTTATTTCCAAAATTTTTATATTGTGTTATCATCATTAGGTTAACAATGCTAAAAAAGAAAAACAATGGTTTTGAATGTGTTAAGGACTAGATCTTGAAATTCACCGAATGGATGGTCGAGATTCATTGTGGGAGCGTATTAATTTTGACCATATCTAAGGTGCAAATTGATTTTTTTTTTTTCGATAAGATTGATTATGAGGATAAAGAGAATGGGTGTTCAAAATTGGAGTCATACAAATGCAAAAAACATAGTTTTCTAGAAGTGTGGTTGTATTATACTGTGATACAACTGTTACATGAAATCATTGCTCGAAAAGTAAAAATTTTAAACCCGAACCGGTGTTCGTTGTTTCAGAGCACGGAGTTCCCAACCAATAAAGCTTTTTTAAAAACATTATTTTATACCATTAAAATTAGTGTATGATTTTTTTCTTTTTGATGGTTTAGTGGGGAATGCATCTTACGTATTTTTTAAATAGTTAAATTTTTTAAACTGTCAATGGGATTGAAAGACACGATGTGCCATTGAAGTAGGGGGTGCAACCATCACGACCCACGCCCTTTCCCATATTAGTTAGAAAGTTGGAGCCTATGATCAGCGAGGTCCCATCGGCATTTGCGTTCGTCAGTTTCCCATGAGAGGGCCGCGTCATTGAAGAATTTCCTTCGAGGTTTTAAAACTTGGCAGACCAGAATTGGGCGGTTTAAATTGGGAGCCCTAGCGCGTTCCGCCTAAATGTCGAAAACCCACTAATTATTTGACAAAACCAACCAATTATATTAAAGAACCGGCCCCACTTTATTTTTTAATATTTTTTATTTTTTGTTGCCTCTTTTTACAGGTTCACTGGACTGGATTGCCCATCCGGACTACCAATTCAGACCAGTTTTCTGGATGGTCATCCAGGTCATAGAACCGTGCTTTAAAAGTTTTGTTTTTGAGTAAGAACCGTGCTTTTAAATCTTGGTTTACTCTTACGCATTTTAAATGTTTAATGGCGTAAAAATTATTGAAAAGTGCGTGAGTTTTTTTTATTGAAAGTTAAGTGTGTGGGTTAACCTTCTTTTACGCATCAAATCGTATTAAACTGTTGAATAGGATTTAATTATTGTAAAGCATACCATACGTGTCATGCGTATGCCTGGAGACGATGAAACACTGTGCGACCTAGAGGCCTATCACGTTTAGTGTTCGAAAAATCAATCCGGCCAAGGGCCGGGTCAGAGGAAACAATAAATTCACTGGTTCAATTGGCTTAAAAAATTTAAAAAATATGAAAAGTATAAGTAAAGCATGGGTAAACAAATCACATTCAAATGAAATTAAAAAAGTAGTGAAAAAAATATAATTTTAAAAACCGATTTATATCTAAGAGTATTTTTAAATTTTTTTAAAAAGGATGAGAAAATGTGAAAATAAACATTCATGGCTAACGCTTTTCAATATTTGCCAAAATGATAAAAAATATTAAAAAACACATTACAAACAAATCTCTTATTTTTTGGTATTTTATGTATTTTTAATTTTTTTTCCCCTAAAATACCCAACTAGGCCACTAAAATCAGCCAAAACTGGATCGGCCAATGTCCGGTTCTAATTTGACCGGCCGGATCCAAGTTGGATCCGCCAAGTTTGCTTTTCTTGTGTATTGATCGTATGGCTTATACATTATACGTGAGATATTACACTATCTCCAAATAACCACTCTTTTATTCCTGGCTAAAAGTGGTGCATTTCATACAAGGAAAAGTATAATTAATCATGACCATTGGATGTGAAATTCGATGATTGCATTTATTCTAGTGACCATACACAAACTTCATTTTTTTTTTTGAACTCTATGACATATCCAAGTTATCAAATTTCACATTGGATGGTTATAAATAATTATGACCTCCTTGTATCAAAGGTAAATGGTCTCATTGTACACAATTCTTACAATGGGTCCATTTACCTTTGATACAAGGAGGTCACAATTACTGACAACCATTTAATGTGAAATCGGATAGTTTTGGTGTGTTACAAAGTTCGAGAAAAATTCTTTTGTAGTTTGAGCGTGGTCAATGAAATAAATGCAGTCATCTAATATCACATCCAATGGTCAAGATTAATTGTGACCGCCATGTACTAAAGATAAATGGTCTCATAATGTACTTATCCAAAAAAAAACATTCCTATTATGTCGGGAATCTTTCTTCCGTGCAATCAAATATTCCCAATAAAGTTATTTGTATCTTAACCTAAACTCTCTCTAATTGAATTATATAATTCGTAACCTTATTTATTTGTAGTATAGGCTTTTTTTTTTTTTGTGGCAAAAGGGTTAGCACTTGAGCTTCATTGTATTTTTTGTGAAATTGGGAAATATAGAATGCAATTCTATACTTTTTTAAAATCACCATTATTATCATCGATGTTTTTCCCAACTAATTCTACACTGTTAATTTAATGAATATAAATGGACCTTGTGCACTATCTTCAAATGATCACCGTGTTGATAGCACACTGTGGAACATGGACACTTGTGTTTATGGTTTGTTATGCAAATCGAAGCACTATGGGGTTGTTTCTCTTTGGAAAGTTATACTTTTTGTAATTCTCTTTGAAATCTTATTTTTTTTTCTAGTGGTTAATAAACGTATCATATTTGAAATATTAATTTTGGAATTAATATTTATCATGGGGTTGTTTCTCTTTGGAAAGTTATACTTTTTGTAATTCTCGTTGAAATCTTATTTTTTTTCTAGTGGTTAATAAATGTATCATATTTGAAATATTAATTTTGGAATTAATATTTATCATACTCGTGTCTTTGTATTAATGTTGGAATTAATATTTATCATACTCGTATCTTTGTCAAATGACACGATATATTGTGTCATACAATGAAATATATTGAAAACAAGAAAAAATGTCATGCAAATGCGATATGTAGGTAAGAATAAATATGATGCGTTAGGAGCATATTGTACATTAGCTCCTTCGGGTAAAAGAGATATTGTGGATTTTTTATTATTTAAGTGATTCAATTAAGAATAACTAAATAATTATTTTTTTAAAAAATAATAGATTTTGAGTTCTAAACACAAAGATCATACCCTCAAAGGTTATATAGTCGTTGTATATTATTGGGATTTTTTTTCAAGTATATAGAACATGTGATTTGAAGAAAATTCCTTGTTGAATTGATCGCTTCGCTCAACATGTTATATCCCCAAAAACTTGGCGCCCTAAAAATATCCTTAGCACGATATTAATCTGAGGGAGCAAATGGATTATATGCTCTCGCGGGAGCAGCATATCCTCGGCGAAACAAAAATACTCTCCGAAATTTTCCCCACAGGTTGCTGTCTAAAATATACGAAATCTATATATGAAAAATGGTGCCGCATTTATTTTCCGACTACTGTTTCATTTCCACTTCTGCTTACGAGCTCGGCCATGGAGGATGCTTATGCCAGATCCATTTCAGAGGTACCTTTCTTTCATTTATTTTGTGTCGTGGTGTCCATCTCTTCTAGAGAGAGAGAGACTTTTATTTTATGAGGAAACTAGACTCTTGAATTTGCTGCTTTATCGCTCATGATGCAATCTCTGTGCATTTTGATCAGGTTCTGGAAGCATTTAGAGTGGACCCAACAAAGGGACTCGCTGATTTGCAGGTAATGGAAAGTAGAAGCTTTATGTTTTTCTTTTCATGAAACATCGTCTAAGTTCTTATTTATTTGGCTTTGCTATGTCTTAGCGTTTAGGACCAGCATTGATATGGTGGAATTTACTTGTTAATTTTTGTTCTGTTCAGGTTGCAGAGAATGCGAGAACCTATGGTAGAAATGGTATGTTGAGGTTTTCTTAACAATTTCAGGGTTTTTTGCTGCTCATACATCTAATTTAGAGTGAATTTTGTGGTATGCAAGGAAATATTTGGAAATTCACACGAAAATATACAATATGACGTAAATAGATGCTCATATCATGGATTCAATGCCACTCATTGGCACTCACAGTCAAATTTGCAATTCTTCAAGTTAGCTTAGATCATTCTGATATCCAGAACTATTTGTGAGACCTATACTCATTTTGTTGTTCTTTAGTAGGCAAAAGGGAGCGAGAGGAAATGGAAGTAGATTATGAAAAGGAGAGTGATCATAAAGTATATGCCACTTTCAACTATGAGTTCCTCACTGCGCAATGAAACCCATTGTTTAGGACTATACTTTCATTTTTACCAAGTACCATGCACATTTGAGGCACGATCACTCTTGGTCATGATTAGAAAGCATTGAATTAAAATGCAATAAGTGATGATTCAGTATTGCAAATTCGTATTACAGAAGGTTACAGATTGAAGTATAAGCTCTAAAGATATTTCTTTATTGAACTTGGGTTATCTGATACACTTTTTTTTCTTTTTCTTTGTTTGGCATGCTTATGTATCAACTCGCACTGCAGTATTGCCTCAAGAAGGAAGTAAGGACATCCCCCAATTCCCTCTCTCTGTCAATTTGATAATATATGGCATTGATAATTACCTTTAACTGTATATTTTGACATTTATTGAGATGCTTGATATAGTATATGCATTGGTATTTTATTTGGCAATAAAATAATGCATGTATTGGTATTTTATTTTTTGTTGTCCATTCTCAATAACCTCTCCACTTGTCAACCGTTTGGACAATAATTCAGTTTCTGATTTTTTTTTTTTGAATAAGTTAGTTTCTGGTTTTTCTTTAGATGCTAGATATACAGTGTCTCTACTATGCAAATTTCTATACTGGGTTGCCTTGCTGCGAAGATCTTTATTTGCTATGCTTTCATGTCAATCTCCTGCATTGCTTTAGGTGACTTAGGTAACTTGTATTTGACCATGTTTGTAGAAATTTTTTTACTTGATTGGAGGTTAGAACAATCCATGATCCATGCGATGTTTTCTGGTCCTATGTTTGCAAAGTCTATGTTACATTCCCATATGGCTAACATTGATGTAAAGTAACAGTAACCTTGAAGACAAAGCCAAATTGCTTGTTGCTTTGATGATACCATTGCAATGTGGAAATGGAGAACGTCTTGGAGTGGTATTGGACATTTTAGTAATTTGCAAGTGCGCCAAATAAGTTCTATTTAGCTTTGTGAAGTGGATGCAAAGCTTATTATGGGTGAAGTATCCCACTTGAAGGGATCTAGTAAATGCTGTCATATTTTGAAGATGAGATGTTGGGATGGGCACTGGAGAATAGGCATGGGGTATGATAATCTTATGGCTACAGACTTTAGGAAGAACATGTTTTAGGAATGGTTGGTATTTGGAAGTTTCTTGCAACTTCTCGTGGAAAGAATTAAGCATAATCCTTTCAACGTCAAACAAGTAAAAAGCACCTCCCTAAGTGGACAGACTGTAATTCCACCAAGCATGCCTGCAAAGGTGCTCTTCCGTTCCCTTGTGTCGAACACTTATTTAAGCTACTAAGCTACCATAATATCTCTGTGATGAAGGTGATTAATATTATAATTTTGATTGTCAAAAGTGATGTAGTGCTGTTTTAAAAAGGAGATTCCTCCATGTCTGGTTCACTAAAACACCACTTGCTATACACCACACAACTTTCTATACATTGATTTGACAAAAATAACCTAAATGCTTCGTGTTCCACAATATATCCACTCCACCATCTATATGTAAGGTGTACAAATATGGATATAGTTTAGGAAAAGGGGAAATGATTCAGTGTTTCACAAAATCATGACACAGATGTGGATACTACTAACATGTCATACTTTAGGCTGGTCATAGATGCCTATATATATACTAATATAGCACATAATCATATGTATTCGACACTGTGATGACTAGATATGCTTTATCATAATGCAGAATCTATATTTTTTAAGTAAAATTTTATGTTCAAATTATTTTATATTACCAGTTTCCTAGGAGTACCCGGTGTCTGTATTGGTGTTATATTGTGTTGGCACTGGTATGCTACGCATATACAAATATCTAGGTACCTTGGATTTGGACCCTTGATGCTACATAGATATGTAAGACTTTTTGCTAGAAACATGCTATATGAATGACATAAATGAGTAGGACTGCCTGGTTCCCATATGGGCCCTAAACAGAGTATGTCAAATACTTTGATTCCAAGGAGTGGACTTCTTGACAAATTGGAGAACTATTGCATTTATGCTGATGTCCTAACAACTGGGCATGAGATGGTCCCATCCTTGTGTGGGATCATTGGAATCATAATGTGATGGAAGTTCATTAGGAAATTTGGTATCTTGAGGGATTGGGTGCCTATTCCAAGATGCTGTGGAGAGCACACTCCTCTTATTTCATACCTCAGATTTTGCGATTCTTCTTTGCCTGGGTCGAGAGCATTACTCGTAGGATTGTGATGGTGTCCTCAATGTGTTGTGGAGCTAATTACTGTTGAAGGTGATGATCATAATGTGATTGGATAGGAAACAAGGGCGGGGCCGTTCACTTAAAGGCTTGCTGTTGTAATTCATGAAATCGCTAACGCTGCATCTTCCTGTCATCTGTCATTTCAGCCTGTTTTGAGGAGGCTAATGAGGAAGCAGACATTCTCGCTAGATGCAGGCTTTCATGTGATACTCTTTTGGGAGCAGATGCTTTGGCCCTTTGATATGTTACCTTTTATTCTCTTTGATGCCGATGCGTTGCTTATTGTACATATTTTACTCAATCGATGGAGTTACTGTTACAACACTGAAAATATTACTGTTACTAATAAAAAAAATAAAAATAAAGATTGGACTTGTTGGTACAATCCACTGTACTGGGACTTTTGCGAGTCTTGTCCATGTTTGAAACTTCCATAAGAGCAATTATTGACCAGTTTGACCCATAGTTACCGGGATCTCCTCCCTGGCTTCGCCATCCCTTGTAGAACCTCGTTTCTCTCGATCCCGGAGCGAATCTCATCTGAAACTCAATTTAGTGTTTTTGGGATCTCACTCCATCTTATAGGGGAATGAGTTCCTTCCAATTTAATTTCGTGTTCTAGAACATTACAAAATCTAGTTCCCTAGTCTTATGGTTCGCGCTCCAGAGTGCATTGGGATCTAGATTAACATAACACAAGCATTGCCATATATGGCATCCAGATCCCACCAATATGGGATCGTTTTAAAGTTCCTTATTTATTTTTTGGAAGGACTAAGCTTGCATGTTATTGGTTAACAACGCCTGGAGCTACATTTTAAACCACAGATCCTTATTACCTACATGAGGAACTCGTGTTCTAAGAAAATGGAGCTCGCTCCTATAAAAGTTATTCCTTGCTCCATAATATTTTGGATCACTTTTAGTAATACACTCCTGAGTTAAGAAACTCAAAAAAATGCCCTTGGGAACTTCGCTTCTTATGTATAGGATCTCGCACCTTTATATAACAAATTCTCGATCCTATGTACGAGCTAGATCCCCAACATACATGGACCTCGATCCCGACCTTTGAAGCTGTACGGGCATCGATCCTGAACACAGGTATCTTCAGTATAGCTTCGATCTGCCAATCCCGCCCCCGATCCCGGAACTGTTCCCGTTTTCGTACCCAACAACTATGGTTTGACCATTCTCTTGGAGCCCGACAGTCCTGATAGGCTGATACTACTCCAAAAGGTTCTTTCTATTTTGTGGAATTTTTATCTTTGTCCCTGCATAAAGAAATAAGAAAAATGGGTGGATAGGGCCTTGCTTCCCCATCACTAGGCATGCTTTGAGATGGTGGAAGACCTCTCTCCAATATAAAAAAAAGGTAGGGGGTTGTGGAAGCAGAAGATTTCTAATTGCCAAAGTATATGGTGCTAAATGGGGAAGGAATTCACCTTTAATAAATAGGAAAAGATGATGGGAGTGGCAAGTGACCATCCTATAGGATTAGGAGATGGGGTGTTGGAGATGGTAAGCTCCCCTTCCCCTGAGGCAATTAAAAGGATGAAAACTAAATTTGTAAGAAGAATTTATAAAAGTAGAGGGTTATCATGTTAAATATATTTTGATATGCTTTATAGCAAGGATTGCTTTTTTATATGTTTATCAAATTATCTGAACAATTTGTTTGATTTATTTTTTATTTTGATCTTCATAATTTTTGTGATCGTTTTATTTTTTATCGTTTTGACTGGTCTAGCTTCTCATACTACTCTTTGGTGGATTTGACTGGTCGAAATGTTATGTACTTCTGATTGGATGATACTTGTTTGATGGCTGGTTTGGTTCTATTAACATTGTTGCGTACTTCTCTTCCACTTATTTGTCAATCATATATTCTTGTCTTCTATAAGCCGACCCCACATAATTGGGATAAGGCTTGGATGATGATGATGATATCATTGACTTCCATAGACAAACTGGATGTGCTCCTTCTTTGGAAGATTTTATCTCATGGGCTTATCATTTGAACATTTGTATGCTATATTAGTATATACAATCTTCATTTTGGTTGTGCCATTAGTTTGAGAGGTCAAGCAGCCTTAAATATTTTGTATTGTCAATCGTCGCTTTTAGGATTGACATGGAACCTGGTCTAATCTTTCTGGTTACTGACAGTCCACCTTATCGTTATCTAAAATGTATTTGTATCTTTTGATTGTTAACTCCTCCAGGGATCTGTTTGTTTGTTCTATCAATGGCAAGTGTTGTTTTGATTTGAGCGTAATTTGCTAATGAGAAAGTTTGAGTTGTTCCATGTGCACTTTTGTACTTGTGCTTGATCTACTCCTTCCATGCAGGTACACCCTTCTGGAAATTAATATTGAAGCAATTTGATGATTTGGTGGTGAAAATATTGATTGCGGCTGCTGTTATATCCTTCATTTTGGCTTTAATTGATGGTGAAACAGGTTTTGCGGCCTTTTTGGAACCTTCTGTAAGTTTCTATTCGTATAGCTCTCTATTTTTACGTGTATCGTATCGCTTAATTGAGACATTGAAGTTTGATGGCTAGAATGAATTGGTAAAAAAGATCCCTCGATAATTATGCAGTTTGGTATTGATTTGAATAGCAGGCATGTGATGAATGCGCCCTCAGTGGTTTTTATTCCTGCCTCATGTTGTTGCTTTTGTTTGTTATTTTAAAGTATTCGCTGGAGTGGGGAGGCTTAATCTAATGAATGAGTCATCTCTCATTCATTCTATAATAGAAACGGTTCAAAGAGGTCAATGAACTGTCATTGGGGTCTAAATTTTTGAGTCGTATTCGTTTACCACCAAGGGGCTTCGTATCCTTGTCATTTTAGTCTTATCATAATGTGTAGTCTGCTTAGGTCTCCTGAAAACTTAATGTACTACTGCCTTGATGCTTATTTAAGGCCATAAAGGGGCATACTAAGTTTACACACTAGGTTTTCCTTTTCCGTTTCTATGAAGCCTTCTAGTTGTTGCATAGAAATTTCTTTTTCTAACTCCCCATTTAGAAATGCCGTCTTAACATCCATTTGGTGGAGTTCGAAGTCATAATGGGCTGCTAAATGCTATTAAGATTCTAATGGTAAGGGAATTTTGCTACAAGGGAGAAGGTCTCATCACAATCTATTCCTTGTTTCGGGGTAAAGCCTTTAGCAACAAATCTGGCTTTGTATTTCTCCAACTTCCCTTCTGAATTTAATTTCTTCTTATAAATCCATTTGCAGTCTATGAGTTTTCTATTAGGAGGTAGTTTCACTAGTTCCCAAACATTGTTTTATTTTGATTGAGTTAAGTTCATCAATCATAGCTTTTTCTCATTGTGCCATTTCATGACAGGTTATAGCTTCTTGGTAGGACGTAGGAACAGAGTTCCTGTAGGGATTCTTCTTTAATCCTCTCATAATATTCTCATAAGTAGGTGAATGACTCAGGTTTTCTCCTAATTCGGTTACTTCTCTTAGGACGAGGTGGTTCGGGATCCATGGTCTGACTTGTGTCATTATCTATCTCATGAAATTTGGCTTGTTTTAGAGTGGTACGACTCTCGAGAATTCTTTCTTAAGAAAATGAGCGTCCCTACTCTCAAGGATAACCCAGGATTATGAACACGGTATCCCTTACCATGTGGTGGGTATCCTATTAAGATGGACTTAACAATTTTAGGATCTAATTTTGTCCTATTTTGATAGGGTATTAGGACATGGGCAAAGCATCTCCACACTCGGAGGTGATCAAAGGATGGAGCACGATCAGTGAAAATCTTATGAGTTAGTGGGACAACTTTTGTGGGATTCTGATTAAGGATATAGTTTGTTGTCAAAACAACTTCTCTCTAAAAATCTAAGGAGAGTTTAACATGTCCCATCATGCTTCTCACCATTTCTATCAGGGTCCTATTCCGTCTCTCAGTTACCCCATTTGCTGAGGAGTGTACGGTACAATATACTGATGTATAATACCATGCTCAGTACATAATTATTTAAATACTCGTGAGGAATATTCTCCAACCCAATCAGATCTAAGGATTTTAATTTTTTGGTTTGTTTGGGTTTCTACCTCAGCTTTATGCCCTTTGAATCGGTCTAGGGCTTCAGACTTTTCACTTAATAGATAGACGTGGCCAAGATGGGAGTGATCATCTATGAATGAGATAAAGTACCTCTTGCGGCCCTTAGTGGCCGCATTCATAGGTCCACAAATATCTCTATGGACAACCTCTAATATGCTAGTAGCTCTTTGAGCTTTCGCAAAGGATTTCTTAACCAGCTTTCCTTGGACATATGATTTACAGACTCTGGTTAAGGCTCCATTTAAATTTTAAATACTCCCTATCTCTTTAATCTCTCCATCCTTTTAGGATTATGTGCCCTAGTCTCATGTTCCATATGTACACATCATCATTGTTATCATTATAACACGAGATAAAGAAAAGAAACATTCTACAAGATGGCCATCCATGACTAATTCATCTCCATATTTCACCTCCACTTTATTATTAGTAAAAATGGTGGAGTGGCCTGCCTTAGCGAATTTAGAGCATAAAGAGTTTGCTTTAGGACCATACTTTTGCTATTTTGAAGTTGAAGGACAAAATCCTTAATACCCAGAATTTCAGTGTTGTGATTCCCACCCATATAGATAAGTTGATCCCCAGGGGAAATATGCTTGAAATTTCTATACCCATCCTTGGTGTTTGACATATTTAAATAGTTTAATTTAAATATTAGACAACTTTGGGGCATCTCCTCACTTACAAACATCATCCCTGGGCATCTCTCTGACCTCAACAAGGGATGACCCACTGCAAACCCTTCTCAGTTGTACCACATACACATGAGTAAGGGTCTTAGACATGACCAAGGCCATAGACTACCCAAACCTTGGTCCATCAACACACACACTCCCACTGAAGTGCATATTCCATTATAAAATATTATATTCACAAGCTGTCTAGGCCTTTAAAGGCCACCAAACCCAACAAAGGCCCCTTAAGCCTCTAAGGTTCCCACTAACAGGGGCAGTCACCCCAAACTCATTGTACTTGGGAAATGGAGGGGTGTGGTACTTGGTCTCCCAAATAACTAAAACACTTGTGCATGCTCAAGGGAAAATTCATGTGACATATTTTTGTTATTGTAGTCGTCTAATCCATGAATGTTCAAACTAGGATTTTCATTTGGCAGCAATCAAGGAGGAACCCAAGCATAGGAAACGCTTAGGACTATGGCTTTCTTTGCTGGAAGAGATTTTCAAGCAAATGTCTAGGCTAGGGCTACCTCGCTGTATTGATAAGCCAGGAAAATCTGTCTAAGACAATGGTATCAAAAGATATGAGAGAAGACTAGCAAGTTGTAGCTTTCTATCCTTCGCTTATAGAATTACCTTTGTCATAATTACTTCATCCAACTTGTTTATTAATTCATTTATGATCAAGGATCAGATTTTTCTGGAGGATCCTGCTGACAAGGATGGTGGAAGTGTAGGAGCCACTTCTTAGTAAGAGGGTATTGAAACGAGTGTTGAGGCCCATTGAAGAGGAAGAAGAGGAAGGTGGGGCTGAAGGAGGACCAAATGATGGCGACAGAAGGGCATCGTGAGAGCTGACATGAGCAACATGATGGGAGCCAACATGAGGTTTGGACTAGCCTTGTAGACTTTGGGTTATAAGGGACTAGTGACAGTACCCAATTGACGAAGTCATTTCTAAACCATTGGAGATAGTGTAAATGATCATGATTGGATGACTATGAACCTCCCCATCGTTCATATTGGATGTAGATTGAATCATTTTAGATGTATATTTGTAATTCTGAGTTCCGTTATGAATGTCATTATTGTTATGTACTCCAATTTGGACCTTTCAATGTATGTGTAGCACTTGGGAAGTTAAAACTCTTGATGTTTAATTTTTTTTTTTTCTTCTTCGATATACATAAAATTTTCTGATTTTTTATTTCCTCAGATTTGGAAATTTTTTTAAGCATTTATTATATTTTTTATGCCATTTTGGGAGGGCTCATGCATACTCGCTGAGCCGACTCATGGTTTGTTATGCCGAATTGTGACTCACTAAGCTCACTCTGCTCGGTCCTCGCATGTCTGGACTTAGTTTTGCGTTTAAAAATCCTGCTTCTTGTCATAATTCTCATTTGTCAAATTAGTTATTCAAAAATTGCCAATTTGACTCGTAACCGCTTGAGTCAAACTGAGGGTAGCACGAGTTCCCCCAGAATTGGGTGAGTCGAGCATTATTTTTCCTTTTTATAAAAGAGACTTTGGAAAACATGGACTCTCGCATTTCTTCATGAAAATCTCTCAAAATTGTCCCAAGTTGTTCCCATCTTGCTGTTCTACCCTAACTATTAAAGTAAAGCTTCCTATCAAAATCCGAAATTTATGAAATCTCAAGATCAAAATTAGTTTTTTTCTTTATCCCGCCATGTTTTTGAAACCCAATCCGCCTTTCTACCTGTTTCTTCTCTTTCTATTCTCTACCCAATTTTTTAAAATTTGTTTCTAATTCATCGTTTTGTATCCTTCTAACAAATCTATATCATGATTTGTTGGATCAAAGTCCTTGTTCAAAGAGATCTAGATATGAAATTTAGAGAGTTTTTGTCACGCCCCAAGAATTTACAATACTGATATTCTTGAGATGTGACAGTCAAAACATATATACATCTCTTGACACGACAAATTTACAATGGCGAATTCTTACAAAGTAACAAAAGAAAGTTTAAGCACAACTACAATATCTTCCAAAGTTGATCTTGACGAGCACTCAATATGAAACCACATTTATCTTGAAAAAAATGTTTACCATAGTTTGATGAGTTTGGCTACTCAGTAAGTGATCATCATAATCCTAAAAATAATCGTGGTTAAAAGATATCAATGTTTTCAAATAGGAGATCTATTAACAGAAATGCATGAACAGTTTCACTTTCAAAAATGCATAATTAAGTATAATCCGAATAATTGAAATGCGTATAACATTTTAACGGCAGTGCATAATTCAAAGGATTTCACAAATTATCCTACTGGCTTCCCAAGTAGGTCACTTATATACCCCATCAATATCTTGATGGGTCCACTTAATCCCTATCGGCGTCCCAGATAGGTCCAGTTAATCCCTGCAGGTTCACTTATACCTCACCGGCGTACCGGATGAGTCCACTTAATCCCTACCGGCGTACCGGAAAGGTCCACTTATACCTCACTTGCGAACCGGATGAGTCCACTTGCATATTAAAGTATTTCTAAATCTCTTTAAACATTCGAAAGCAGCAATAACATGTACGCAACATATCACTGAAATTATTAATATGAATTTCATTGAAACCATTAATAACAGTCACTTTCAATAACATTTAAAAAATAACCAGTCAAATATTTTTGGCTCAAATTTAGAAAGGTAGCAGTTCGTAAAGACATTCTAGCATAATTGCCAATCTAATATGT